CGCCCTCCCCCCTTCCTCTCCTCCATTTCCTCCTCCGCGCTCCCCACCCTGCCCCCCCCTCCCTCCCGCCCTCTTCCAGTGGAGCGAGCCGCTGGAGCCCCCCTGAGGTCCGACGTCTCCCCAAAAAACTTGAGACGTCGTGAAACATCGCGCCCCGAATCCTAGCATGGACCCAATATGTCCGCGCCATTGTTCGAGGCGGATCGATCTGTGAGGGCCCCAGGGCCCCAGAAACAACGAAAACGCCCGGGGCTCGACAAAATTTTGGACGCCAGGATCTTAAGGCCAGTGCCGCGTCCCGCGCTCGGGATTCCTGGGACCAAGCGGTACGGCCTGGTTGCAGAGCTTCCCGAGCTCCCCCAGGCAGAATGCCTCCACCGACCAACCCAACCAACCAACCCCCTCCCTCCCAGATCCCCCGCCCTGCCGTCCCTTTCCATTCCTCTCCCCACCCATTTCCCCCTCGCTCTCCCCAACCGCTCCTCCTTCCCCGTCCTTCTCCAGCATGCCCCCGTCCCTCCCTTTCTGAAGGGAGGTAAAACCACTCCGACCCCCATGATCGGCGTTTACTAAACGGCCCTGGGCGTTTACCAGACAGCCCTGCCCTGCTCGATTCTTCCCTTGGGTGCGGGGGTGCTTCTTATGAGCGTGGATTCTCTGCTCTCTACCTGCCCCCCATTACCCCCTCCCCACCCCCCCGCCCCCCCTTTACTCCCCCGCCTCCCCCCCCCCGGCGGCACGCCCTCCACCCCCTCCGCCGACCCTCCCCCGACGCAGGCCCCAGGGCCCGTGCCCAGCGGCGTGCGCGCGGCGGCGGCCCCGCCGCGAGAGGCCCCGCGGCGCCCGCGGCGCCGGCGGCGCCGGCGACGGCCAGAGGGCAGCGACGACGGCGGGAACCGGGGGAGGGGGGGCGGGAGGGAAAGGGGGTGGGGGGCCGCAGGGAGACGGGAGGAGGAGGAGGAGGAGGAGGAGGAGGAGGAGGAGGAGGAGGAGGAGGAGCAGTCATGGAGTCATGGGGTCATGGAGGCATGGACTCATGGATTCATGGACTCATGGATCCAGGAAGTGCGCAATGGCAGACAATCGGAACCCTGGTCTACCCCTTACGGGAGGAAACGGGCCTGAAGGCGTGCGCACCGACGAACAAAGGATAGGCAGCTACTTCGTCGCCCAGCGATTTGCCTCCAGTCGAGAGGGCGTGGTGCGTAAGGGGACCGTCGATTCACCTCGTCACTGCGAGGTATTTCCCGGTTATCATCCCCTACCCGATCAGCTGGCATGCGCAGCTGGGTTTGTTCCCCAGTGTGAGCGGGCACAAACCCACCATGGGACTTAGGGGCCACACGGTCCCGCCTCGCGACCAAATGCGCAGTCCCCCGTGCCTGGTACCCATCTCCAGCTGCGCAGTATGGCTAGCGCCGCTGCCACGGGCAAAGTGTCACGTGGCTGGTTCCACAAGGCACGGGCCGGTTTAGCGACCACCCGTCGCCGCATGCAGTCGAGTCTGACGGTGTGCCCTGAGGAGTGTGTGTGTGTGTGGCGCTGACACCATGAGAACAGGTGCCAGGCCCTCACCCCTCGGGGCGGGAGGAGGAGGAGGAGGAGGAGGAGGAGGAGGAGGAGGAGAACGAGGAGGAGGAGAACGAGGAGAACGAGGAGGAGAACGAGGAGGAGGAGGAGGAGGAGAAGGAGGAAGAGGAGGAGGAGGAGGAGGAGGTAGAAGGTCAAACCTTGCAGAGTTACGCTTCGATGTTGCACCAAGCCGCCAGTCCTTTCACTTGACCGTATGCTCAACGGGGATCGGGTGGACTTAATTGAGTGGAGCGGGGAGGGAGGACGTGACTTGATCGGCCGCCCCTGATCAAGAGGGAGCTGGCCCTGTGTAGTTATGCACACCTTAGCTACTCTAGCCCGTCTGCTTTTGTCGAAGTCATGCGACATACCTGTACCAGGCCTGCCAACATTGGGGCAGCCGCCAGCCTATTTCATGAACCACTGTGTCCTGTTGTCTTCTCTGCATTTTGTAACGCGTACTTCTGGTGAGGTTGGAGGGCCGGGGCTGAGGTCGGAGAGGGCATCGGGCCCACGGGCATATTGTAAGCTTTCCACCCACGTTTCAGTAGAGGAGCCTCACAGGCAGGCCATAGTGTAAGACAAAGGCATGCTGACTGGACGTGTCCGCAGCATACCCAGAGGCTGCAGGCGAGGGTGTTTCGCCCGTTGCAGTCAACCGTGTCGATGCCCACGACGGCCATTTGTACATCCAGCGTAGTTCAACCCATTGTTCTATATTCTCGACTCTGTTCTCTCACGCTCTAGGACACTGCAGCTCTAGTTTCATAGGTTTTTCATCGTCGGCCCATATTTTCAAACGAGATGCCCTACACACTACTGCGCACCCCTGTCGGACACATGATGGGGGATTGGTGGGCTACGGGTGGGCGGGAGGAAGTGATTACATCGGGCCCCCTTGATTGCGGGGAATGGGCCCCAGTTTATTGAATCGCTTCGCTCATTCCGCCAGCCCATATTGCGCACCGCGGTGGCCTGGCCGAGAGGTCGTCGGCAGTGCGGCTGCAGGGAGCGGCGGCCCCAAAACGTTTCCAGAGGCTCTCAAGAGGGATTCAAAACGGCTTGAGAGCGCCTCAGGACAGCCCAAGAGAGCCCCCGTGGGGCCTCTTGGGAGCCTCTTCGAAGCTTCTTGGGAGCCTCTGCGCCTCTGACCCGTTGGGCCGGCGAATTCAAATTCTGGCCATCTTGTTTGAGATTGTTTATCTCGAAGTCATGCCACGTACCAGTGCCAGGCCAGCCGGTACAGGGTCAGCCTTTCATCAGCATGCCCAGCAGCAGCCGTCTACACTGCACTGCCCGTGCTACGTCATGTTGCGGCCATGTTGGCCTTCGGCAGGGGGTGGGCCACGGACCCCGAACTGTGGACTGCCGAGCAGCACCAGCTAGCAGCATCGCATCATTACCAGCCACTTTCTTGCGTCAGCCATTGCTCTGTGCTACATGGACCGTGGTGGGGACGGGTATGTGTTGGGGGGAAGATCACCTGAGGGGATGGGGCATTGGAGTGCTCATCATTACGTTTGCCCGTGCTCTACCATGGTCGCCCAGCTTGCCGCACGCTAAACACCAGCAGGCGGACCTTGTTACCCTTAGTTGCCTTTGCACGCGTAGTTCGGCCTCTCCCGTTCAATGTACTCCCTTCGTATGTCATTATGTTCAGGTGTTGTTTTCGTGATGTACTCCGTGCTCCTAATGGTTGCCTGCTTGCTTCCTCTGCGCCCATCAATGGGCACCTTCTATATTAACAATTCCTCGTGCATCTCCTACATCCGCAGCGGCAGCAGCCTTATTTTTTGTCGCTGGTCTAAGTCGGCGCTTTCCGGTTTTTCTATCCCGATGCCACGTTGCAGTGGAAGAACGCATCTCCCAAAATGCTTATGTATGGACAACGTACTTAGGGATGAGGATAAGGAGGCGGAGGAGAAGAAGGAAGAGGAGGAGGAGGAGGGGGAGGAGGCAGAGAAGGAGAAGGAGGAGGGGTATGAGTGGGAGGACCACTGCAAACCCAAGGCGCATCAACGATGCTGCCATTAACTTTCCTCCAAGTTTTCTTTCCATAGGGCCCTGCAGTAATGCCATATGGGAAGATAACTGTTTGATGGTCTTACATTGTACCAGAACGGTGCTCCCTGAATTTCAGCACCGCGAATCAACGTGACTGTTGCGTCCTGACGCCCCGAAATCCTGCCAGAGCACCATTCCTGGGATTTCGACCCTGCGAATCATTGAAACTGTTGCAATTTCTTGACGCTTCGCGTATCCCCACCAGACCATCGTCGCTCCCCCGCTCTACCTGGATGAGCGGCCCTTAGCTCCCTGGGCTTCTTCGTGACCGCTGGCTGTTGTTTCGGCTGCAGCTGGTAAGCGGCAGCACAGCTTTCCCAGAGCGCCATCTTCTTACACTTCACTCTGGTACGCCAGGGTACCAAGGATAGGCGTGGCTCTGTGTATGCTTGTCACGTTAGATGCTCCCTGGTACGCGTTCCTGCTTTTATCTTTGGTTGCTAGTCGCCTGCGACTTGTGCCTGGTAGAAGATCGGGACAGTTGTACCTTCCGCATAACGTCACATCATGTTACCTGATGGATCGCTTGCGAACGCATCTCTGTTCGAGATTGTCTTCCCGGGCCTGACGTGCCTTGTTCGGTTACAGACACCACGAATTTCGCGCCTTTTGGCTGCGTTGGTGCGTACTCTGAAGCTGCGACGGTTCGCTGGCGCTGTCAGAGTCCAACCTCTCCCTACGGTATGCAGTCAGGCGACAGCTTGCGCGTCTCTCGGACGCTTCTGCTTGAGCATGGTTCAGACACCCTGGGACCCTATGGTACGCCATTCGCTGCGCCGAGGTTTGCAGACTCCCTACTGTTCAGATAGTGTACCCAAGCGGCGTACTGCTTGGCCATGGCCTCAGACACCTTGGGGTTATTTGCATCGCGCCATTTTGGCAGCGTAGTTACAGACTTCCTGGGTGCAGGTCCCTGGGCGTCAGACACCCTGGGTTGCTGCACCCTTGCACCCGCCGCCCCGGCGCCTGCCGCGGCCCGCGCGCGCGTCCGGCCAATTAGTTTCGGCCGCAGCCCGACCGTTACTCGCCGCCGCTGGCGCCTCCGCCTTCTTCCTCCTCCTCCTCTCCTCCTCCCTCTCCTCCTCCTCTTCCTCCTCCTCCTCCTCCTCCTCCTCCTCCTCCTCCTCCTCTTCCTCCGCCTCTTCCTCCTCCGTGGTGGCGTCTTGGAGGTATCTTCGAACGGGTTGGTGGGCTCTTGGGCCTTGCGGGCGGGCGGGCGGCGCTCCGCCCGCCCGCGCGCAGGGCCCAAGAGGAGAGTCCAAGACGTCTCTTGGAGCCGTGTAGGAGGAGATCGATCAACGAAGGAGGGTCCCTCAACTTGGCTCGCCCCCCAGGAGCTCCAAAAATCGTCTCCTGGACCCCTCTTGGATCGCTCTTGGAGCGCTCGTGGCCGCTCTTGGAGCCGTCCTGAGGCTCTCTTGGGCCCCTCTTGGAGCTATCTTGAGCCATCTTGGAGTCATCTTGACGCCTCGGATGTGCATCGCAAGCGAAAAGGTGAGAACGCCAAAAACATTGATTTTCCCTGGGGGGGTGAAGCATTTTTGGGCTCCTAGAGGCTTCCTAGTGATGCTCTTGTGGGTACTTGGAGCCGTCTTTACGCGATCTTGGAGCTTCTTGGAGCATCTTCGGAGAGTACGGATGTGCAGGAAGAATAACATATCTGTGAGAAGCATTTGATCGTTTCGGTTGCTCTTACATGTGTTTTCGCAGTATTCTGGGCTTCGCGTCCCGCGCGAGCTCTCGATTGAATTTATTTTGAAGCAGTTTTTGGGCGTCTGGGGTCCTTTTAGACGCCATCGGGGCGCTCTGGGGGGGCATCTTGGAGCAAATCTACCAAAGAAGAGCAGAGTTTTAATTAGCGTTGCCCCTCCAGACTGTCTAAAATCGTTTCCTGGACCCCTCTTGGATCGCTCTTGGAGCGCTCTTGGATGCTGTTGAGGCAGTCTTGAGGCTCTCTTGGGCCCCTGTTGGGGCCCAGTTGGGACATCTTGGCGCCATCTTGAGGCCTCGGATGGGCTTCGGAAACGAAAAAAGTGAAAACACCAAAAACATTGATTTTCCCTAGGGTTTTGAAGCATTTCGGCTTTTTGAGGGCACTCTAATGATGCTCTTGTGGGCATTTGGAACCATCTTGGAACGGTCTTGGAACGTGTTGGAGCGTCTTCTGAACCATCTTCAGGCATCTTGCGCTATCTTGAGCCATCTTGGAGGCGATCTTGGGCTCTCTGAGGCCCTCTTGGAGCCGTCCTGGGCCATCTTGGACGCTCTGACCGCTCCCCGCCCCTCCCGTCCAGGTCAGTGGGGAGGGGGTAGGGGGAGGGGTCACCCCCCCCCGAAGGGGAAGAGGGAGGGGTGGAAGAGGAAACGCCCTAAACCACCGACGCCCAGAGTGCTGGTGGGATTTTCACAATGAATGCGCGCAGTGCAAAGGCGAGATCCACAGTTTGAAAAAGAGCAGCCCTTCATCCGTGAAACGGTTGCAGACGTGCTGCGTGCTTAAAGGCGAATGTGAGAGGCGTTAAAAGAGGCGAGGGCAACATTTTGAAAACCGTTCACTTTCCATCCGCGACACTGCTGCGAACTTTTAAGATAACTGTGCGCGGCGCTAAGGCGAGCGCTACGTTTCGGAAAAAGGGCCTCCCTCCATCATTGAAACTATTGCAAGTTTCCAGGCTTCAGGCTAACACGCGGTGAGGAAGTCTTGGGCGACACGCGCAGCCGCCTTACCGACACCTCTCGGGGGTGCGACAGGGAGAAGTTGTTTAATCGCTTCGCTCATTCCGCCGGCCCGTACTGTGCCATCGCAGGTGTTTGCCTGCGCGTCCGCGGCCTCTTGGAGCCTCGTGGGGGCCGTTTGTGGGTTTCTTGGCGTCTCTTTTTGGGCCTCTCAGGGACCTCGTGGGGCCTCCAGGGATCCTCCTGAGCTCTCTTGGGGCCTCCTGAGGGCCTCTTGGGGCAGAATGCTCGACTTGGTGTTTCGTGTTCCCCCTCTTGGGCCCCTGTTGGGGCCGTCTTTGGCCCCTCTTGGGTCCTCTTGGGGCTCTCTTGGAGGCTTCTTGGGCTGTCTTGTGACGATATTTGGGGCCTCTTGGGCCGTTTTTGAGCGTCGGGAAGCCGAACAGATGAGAACGCCAAAATCCTTCAAAAACCAAAGGGATATCGATCGTGTTTGCCTCCTGGGGCCCTCTTGAGACGCTTCTTCGAGGCCTCTTTGGGCGTCTTGGGGGCGTCTGCGGCCGTCTGGAGGCTATCTTTGGCGTCTTGGACCGATCGGTCGGCGACTCGGAGCCCTCTTGGACCATCTTGGGGACTCTCGGGGCCCTCTAGGGGCGCCCTGGGGCGCCTGAAAGCCGCGCCCAGAAGGAAAAACCATCTCTGGGTCGGACCACCCGGGGTACTTTTCGTCCGGGGACCCCGAGGAGCCGCCCTGCGCGCGCGAACTAGAACTATTGTTTACCAGTAGCCGGAGGTCTTAGCAAGCCTCTGGCCCGTTGGGCCAGCGAATTTACACGGAAAAGGGATGGAGGAGGAGGAGGAGGATGACATGGACGAGTGTGGGAAGGAGAACGAGGAGGAGGAGTAGGAGGAGTAGGAGGAGGAGGAGGAGGAGGAGGGGGAGGAGGAGTTGGAGGAGGAGGGAGGAGAGGAGGAGGAGAAGGAGGAGGAGGAGGAGGAGGAGGAGGGGAGGAGGGGGAGGAGGGGGAGGAGGCAGAGTAGAGGGTTATCACTTCCAAGATCGATTCTGGCTTAGGTCCGGCATTTGGTGGGTATGTGAGCTCCCCGCCGCGCTGGAGGTCAGACGGGCGCTCCGAGCGCCTTCTGCACGATGACGGGCGCCATCGGGCAGCAGCAGATGGCCGCCCGCCCGTACTCGCTGCCGCAGGTGCCGTTCCCAAGCTACTTCCACATGGTGTCCGTGGTCGGCATCCCCAGCATCTAACTGGGACAACCAAGGAGGAAGGGTGAAGGAGGGAAGGCGAGAAGGTAGGAGGGATGGGGGGAGCATGGAGGAGGGAGAAGGGGGAGGAGAAGGTGCAGGAGGCGGAGGAGAGGGGAAGATAGACAGCGTAAGCACTTTGCGACAGTGTTGGTTCCTGCGTGAAACGTGCCCTGGCTCGTGCTTACTAGGAGCGTTGCGCTTCGCGTGAGCCTTACAGCATTGGAGTGATAATGGAGTTGGCGGAGGGGGAGTAGGAAGAGGAGGACGATGAACCGCGTCGTTTGGTCAAGGCCTCTCCCTCTTCCGCCCCTCCTGCCCCCCCGGGGGACGCCGTCCGATCTAGCCGCCTTTGCAGGCGCCTGTGCCCGGCCAAAACCGAACAACGCCCCCCACCGCGCCCCCACCACGCCCCGGCATCCCCACCCTACGCGAGCTCAGTTCTTGGGACCCCCCACGCGACGATTTCCCGGCCAAAACCGACCCACCCCCCCCACCGCGCCCCCACCACGCCCAGGCATCCCCATCTCACCTGCCTTGCCGGGCCGCATGCCCATCCGCGCAGGGGAAGAGGGCAGGGGGCGGGCGCGGCGTGGGAGGCAGAGGAGGACTTGCTACGTCATCCGGGTGCGCCGCCAGCTGAGCCGGCAGCTGCAACGGATGATGATGATGATGAGGATGATGATGATGATGAGGAGGAGGAGGAGGAGGAGGAGGAGGAGGAGGAGGAGGATGAGGATGATGATGAGGATGAGGGTGAGGATGAGGATGAGGAGGAGGAGGAGGAGGAGGAGGAGAACCAGCAGCAGCAGCAGCAGCAGCAGCAGCAGCAGCAGCAGCAGCAGCAGCAGCAGTAGGAGTATCAGGAGCAAGAGCAGAAGCTGCGTCAGTAGCACGATCAGCATGAGGAGCGCGAGCAGGAGAGGTGCTGGAGTGGGTGAGGATGGGGGAGCACGAAGGGGGGGCAGGAGGGGGATGGAGGTCAGGAACAGGAGGGGCATGCATCGACCCCTTATCGCCCACGGATCGCCGATAGGGGCCCGATAGCCCACCCAGAGCTAGTCCCCCCTATCGTTCTCCCAAGGGAGGAGGGAGGAGGGAAGACGAGAGAGGCTGAAGGAGGGACACATGGTCCAGTGAGCAGGATGCAGTCTCTGGGGAACGACGGCTTCTGTATTTGGGTCGGACACCACAGGTGCCACGAAAGCTAGGTGCATCCCCTGACCCAGGCAGGTCCAGTGACAGGCGGTCTGATCTGCCGTCCCCTCCTCCTCCTCCTCCTCCTCCTCCTCCACCACCTTCTCCTTCTCCTCTTCCTCCTCCTCCTCCTCCGCCTTCTCCTCTTCGTCGTCCTATTCCTCCTCCTCCTCCTCCTCCATTTTCTCCTCCTCCTCCACCTTCTCCTCCTCCTCCTCCTCCGCCTCCTCCTCCCTCGTCGTCATTTTCCTCCTCCTACTCCGCTTCTCCTCCTCCTCCTCCTCCCTCCTCCTCCACTTTCTCCTCCTCCTTTCCTCCTCCTTTTCTTTCTCCTCCTTCCCTCTCCACCACTTCCTCCTCCTCCTCCCTCCTCTCCTCCTCCTCCTCCTCTTCCTCGTCGTCATCTCCTCCTCCTCCTCCTCATCCTCCTCCTCCATCTCCGCTCCTCCTCCTCCTCCTCCTCCTCCTCCTCCTTCTCCTTTTCCTTCTCCTCCTTCTGCTCCTCCTCCTCCTCCTCCTCCTCGGGGGGGAGAGGGCCCTCTGGATAAGATTTGACAGAGCGCTGGCTAGGTCCCCAGCAGGTCTCGGTCATGCGGCCGTCTGCCCCGACCCGCGCGGCCCAGCCAAGGGGGAGATTGCGGTGAGGCCAAAGTGCGCCAACCGCACTGACGGCAACCCGCATAGTAATGATGATGGACTGTACCCTCGCATTCTTACCTCTTCGATCATCTTCGGTCCAGGCTCATCTGCTTTCGGTGGCCAGCCCCGCTCAAATGGCCTCGGCATTGGCGTCCAAGGCCCTTGCATCCTTACCGCGCAGCCTTACTCTATGTGTTGATTGTAACGCTCAATGCGCGGACGGTCTGGCGAGGTCTTTTGGACTCTGGGCATCCGGTGGTGCGCTAGAGGTGCGTTAAGCCGCGGGGCCAGCCAATTCAGTGCTGCGAGTGTCTGTGGGCGCTTGCCGACCCGAGTTTGCGCTGCTGATCCGGGCGCCTCCTCTGGGAAACGCACGCTCGATATGCAGACAGTCTGGCGATGTTTTCTGGGTTCGAGCTGACGGATTTGGGACCCACCCCCCCACGTTCTTCGCATCTCAATTGTTCGTATTGTGCCCTCGCCTCAAGAGAGACGGAGGGAGGAGTCGATGATCACAATGGTAGTGGTGATGGTTGTGATGATGCTGAGGATGAGGATGGTGATGATGGCGACGATGTTGATGGTGATGATGGCGTGGATGAAGATCGTGATGATGATGATGAGATGGCGATGATGCCACTGCTGGTGATGATGCTGCTGCTGATGAGAGCGACGATGCTGGTGATGGTGATGATGCTGCTGCTGCTGATGATGATGATGATGATGATGATGATGATGATGATGATGACGATGCTGATGACGATGGTGCTGACGATGGTGCTGACGATGGTGCTGACGATGGTGCTGACCACGAGTGATGAGTGATGATGATGTTGGTGGTGCTGATTGTGACGGTGAGTGGTGATGGCGGTATTGAGCGCTGATGGTGGTGACGATGGACGGATGCCAGATCTGTTCATATCTTGCCCGTGTCTTGAGATAGAGTCAACGTTCCACAGCAAGGACGGGCAACCTTCCCAAGGGTACCCCTACAGCCTTGCCCCTTCAGCCCATCCTTGGGCGACTTTCGTTGGCCAGTCTCGTGAGGAAAGCTTCCGCATGGGCCTCCTCCTCCCCCTCCTTTACCTGCTCCTCCCCCTCCTCCTCCTCCTCCTCCTCCTCCTCCTCCTCCTTCTCCTCCTCCTCCTCCTCCTCCCTCCTCCTCCTCTCCTCCTCCTCCTCCTCCTGGCATCCTTACCGCGCATCCCTGTGATGCGGGTGGACTGTGAGCAGGGGCGGCGGCACGGGGGGGGGGGGGGAGGGGGACCGCGGCCCAGGGACCGCGGGGGGGGGGTGACGCATCGAGCCCCCAACCCGCCCAGGCACACCGCCGGGCGGGGCCGCCGGGCCCGCCACCCCGCCCAGCTCTCTGGTGGAGTCGGGCCTGTCCCTCTACAGTGCGACCCTACCTAGGAGTTGGAACCCCTAGGAAAGCAGCATTAGTAGTAACAGTAACGCTAAGCTAAAGCTAAGCTAAAGCTAAGCTAAAGCTAAGCCACAGCTAAGCTAAAACTAAACTAAATCTAAGCTAAAGCTAAGCTAAAGCTAAGCTAAAGCTAAGCTAAAGCTGAGCAACAGCTAAGCTAAAGCTAAGCTAGAGCTAAGCTAGAGCTAAGCTAAAGCTAAGCTAAAGCTAAGCTACAGCTAAGCTCAAGCTAAGCTAAGGCTAAGCTAAAGCTAAGCTAAAGCTAAGCTAGAGCTAAGCTACAGCTAAGCGAAAGGCTAAGCTACAGCTAAGCTAAAGCTAAGCTAAAGCTAAAGCTAAAGCTAAAGCTCCCAGGGGACTGGGGGGAACCGCTCCCAGGGGACTGGGGGAACCGCCCGGGGCGTGTTCCACTGCCCGGCCCTTTAAGTTAAGAGAGAGTTAAGAGAGTAAGAACCCTTCTAGGTAGAGCCTAGGTAGGGAACTATACATGTTAAGCGGGGTAGCAAAATCGTACCCGCCGTGTTTGCACAACATTTATCCCAGTGCGACCCTACCTAGGATTTGGAGCCCCTAGGAAAGCAGCATTAGTAGTAAGAGTAAAGCTAAGCTAAAGCTAAGCTAAAGTTAAGCTAAATCTAAGCTAAAGCTAAGCTAAAGCTAAACTAAAGCTAAGCTAAAGCTAAGCTAAATCTTAGCTAAAGCTTGCCTGAAGCAAAACTAAAGCTAAGCTAGAGCTAAGCTAGAGCTAAGCTAAAGCTAAGCTAAAGCTAAGCTAAAGCTAAGCTAGAGCTAAGCTAGAGCTAAGCTAAAGCTAAGCTAAAGCTAAGCTAACGCTAAGCTAAAGCTAAAGCTAAAGCTAAGCTGAAGCTAAGCTAAAGCTAAGCTAAAGCTAAACTAAAGCTAAGATAAAGTTGAGCTAAAGCTAAACTAAAGTTCAGCTAAAGCTGAGCTAAAGCTAAGCTAAAGCTAAGCTAAAGCTGAACTAAAGCTAAGCCAAAGCTTAGCTAAAGCTTAGCTAAAGCTAAGCTAAAGCTAAGCTACAGTTAAGCTAAAGCTAAGCTAAAGCTAAGCTAAAGCTAAGCTAAAGCTAAGCTGAAGCTCAGCTAACGCCAAGCTAAAGCTAAAGCTAAAGCTAAAGCTACAGCTCCCAGGGGACTGGGGGAACCGCGGGGCGGGGACTGGGGGAACCGCCCGGGGCGCTTTCCACTGCCCGGCCCCTTTAAGCTAGAGAGTAAGAACCCTTCTAGGCAGAGCCTGGGTAGGGAAAATAAGTTTTGGGACCCTACGTATTTGTTTATTATTTGGGGGCTATTTAGCGGCATTCGTGAGTATTTTTTATTTTTCGCCCGAAATCCGCTTGTATGGGGGACACGCCCGACCTAACTCTCGGGGGCCCACCGCGGACGTGTCGGCGACGTGTCGCAGGTCCCGCGTCGGTGCCTCCTGCGGGAAAAGACTTCTATAGCCATATCCGCTGCGTCTTGGAGATTTTCTGGCAGGGGGCGCCAGCAGGCCGAGGCGCAGTGGACATGGACGGTAAATCTAGCCTCTGGGGGCCAGGCTTGAAAACAAGTCCATCTCCTCGGCGCCTCTGGTTTTCTGGAGGGAAGGGAATCTAGAGCTCCAGGACGCAACGGACGTGGATACAAGTCTTGCCCGCGCCCTTCCGTCCTGAGCCAAACCCCCCTGTTGACACCCCTGGGGCAAGGACAGGCCCCAGCTGGCCAAGCTTAAGCCGGACATGTCCCTCTACAGGAGGAGTATTCAAAAATAGTCTAAAAAGATAGTCTCGGGACGATTTGTTTGGAATTTTCAGCCATTTTGGGGTATTGTTCGACTATTTATTTTTATTTCTTCGTCCAAAATCCCCCTGTAGGAGGACATGCCCGACGTAAGGCCACGTCTCGGGACGACTTTTTATCATTGTTTGGCCATTGGGGGGTATTTTGTTACTATATATCCTTCGTCCAGAATCTCCCTGTAGGAGGACATGCCCGACCTAAGGCCAAGCTCGGCCGGCTCCGCGCGCGCCGAGCACGCCGTGTGGCGGGCGCCGGGAGCCAGACTCGCGAGACACCAGCTCGGCACGCGGGGCTCCTCGTCCTCTGTGCCCTCCTCGTTCTCCTCCTCCTCCTCCTCCTCCTCCTCCTCCTGCCCTCCTCGTTCTCCTCCTCGTCCTCCTCCTCATCAGTCCAGTTTCCCCCTGCTCCTCCTCCTCCTGCTCCTCGTCCTTCTCCTCCTCCTGTTCCTCCTCCTCCTCTTCCTCTCCATGTCTGCTTGTCCTATCCCTTCTCGTCTCCCTTCTTCCTCCTCCTCCTCCTTCTCCTCCTCGTCCCTGTGCCTCTTCTCCCCCTTGTCCTCCTCCTCCTCCTCCTCCTCCTCCTCCCTGTGCCAGTGGTGCGCAGGGCTCCTGTTGGGTGGTCGGCGGTGGGCGCACGGGGGGGCTGTGATCGAGGAGACCTTATGTATGGTCTCCGAGGAGCGCTTCGCCCGGGCCCTCTGGCATGACGCCGCCGGGGCGACGCAGGCAATTTAATCCGGTTTTCAAACGGGGACCTCCCAACCCCAAGTGGAAGCCGTCACGTCTAGCGAGCAACTGCTCACTCGACATGCGGTCGAGGGGCAAAATGGAGCAGCACTCCCCCCGAACGGGGACCTCCCAACCCCAAGTGGAAACAGTCACGTCCAGCGAGCAGCTACTCGCTCGACGTACGTGTCAGGAAGCTGGACAGCGCTTCCCGGTTCCTTCAAACTGCCCTTCGGGTCGGGCAATCTTTGGCACTCGCGCGAGATTTGCACCTCCACGGGGCGGCGCCCTGTTACGGCTGTGCGGCTTGGACATCTGAAGAGCGTTTTCTTGTCGCGGCGAATGCCATGACTTATACTTCAGGTTGTTGGCGCATTTTGGTTTCGATGTTCCCAAGTGCGTTCCTACTTGTCTGTGGTGCCGTGAAATCCCTCATGCTCGGTTGTATGGGGGTGAGCCTCCCCAGTCTTTCACATTTGGCGAGTGGCTTCTTGTCGCGACGAATAGAAGACTTCATATTTCAGCCGGTTTGCGCAATTCGGCCTTGATGTCCTCAAATGCGTTCTTTGCATTTGTTTGTGATATCGTCATGTCCCTCATGCCAGGACACTGGCTTCTCCACAAGGCAGCACCCGGGCACGGCTGTATGGGGGTGAGCCTTCCCCAGTCTAGCGCGCTTGATTGTTCGTTCGCAGAATGGCAGCTCTTTAGTTCGTGCGCTTGTCCGTTCTAGCGTCCGTTCCAGCGATTCCATTTCCAGCGGAGGCTTCTGTCTTCAGGACAGCCCGGCGGCAATGCCGGCGATTGTGCCTGCACAGCGCATTTACCTCCACAGGGCAGCGCCTTGATACTGCCGTATGAGGGTACGCCTTCCCCAGCCTAGCACGTTGGAAAGTTGTTCATAGAACGGCAGCTCTTCGCTTCGTGGGAGTGAGTATCCGTTCTAACGATTCCGTCCCCAGACGAGGCGTTGGCCTCCAGGATATGGCCTGGCGACAATGCCGACGGTCCTGCTTTGACTCTGGGACTTCGCACATGATGGATCATATGGTTATCTGGTGGGTGCGCCTTCCCCAGCTTAGCACGCTTGCAAGCTTCTTAACATAACGATGGCTATTTACTGTGTGAGCTTGTCCGTTCTAGCGCCTCCGTTCCCGGCAGAGGCTTTAACCTGCAGGACGCAGCCCAGCAGCACTGCAGGCGACCCTGCTGTCACAATGCGCACTCGCACCACGTCTTTACCTTTGCAGGGCATCGCCCCGATACGGCTGCATCGGGTTTGGACCTTCCCCAGTTTTGCGCATTTGAAGAGTGTTTTCTTGCTGTGGCGAAAACCAGGGAGCATATAGCACAGTTAGTTTGCGCGTTTCCTCCTCGATTTCCTCAAGTGCGTTGTTTCTTATCGTGCCGTGATGCCCTCCTTATTGTGGCAATGGCATTCCCGCAGGGCAGCACCTTGATACGACTGTGTCGGGGTGCGCTCGGGCGACGAAATCTATACATACACATCCACCGCCCTCTAGCTGGGCCCTTCCTCCGCCCAGGAGCTGTGTATACGCCCTCCTGGCCAAACCAGGAGGGCGTGGCGTATACACCGCTGCTGGGTCAAGGATGGGCCTGGCCAGGGAGCAGTGGATCTGTATGTATTCCGTCGCCCTATAAGCCTTCCCCAGTCTCGCACGTTTGAAGGGTAGTTTCTTGCCGCGGCGAATACCAGGCACTATCGCTTCGATTTCCTCAAGTGCGTTTCCTTTACTGGTGATTCCGTGATGTCCCTCATACTGTGACATTGGCACTTCTACAGGGCAGCCCCCTGGCACGGCTCCATGAGGGGGAAGCCCTCCCCAATCTTTCATATTTCAAGCGTGCTTCCTTGTCGCGGCGAATACCAGGCATTATAGTTCAGGTGGATTGTGCATTTTCGTTTCGACCTCCTCAAGTCCGTTCAGTTTTTTATTGTGCCACCGTGAGGCTCCTCACGCTTTGGCATTGGCCCTTCGACAGGGCAGCGCCCTGATATGGCTGTATGGGGGTGCGCCTTCCCCAGCCTGGCACGTTGAACAGTTTGTGTTCACAGACCAGCAGTTCTGAAGTGTGTGAATTTGTCCGTTCTGGCCGATCCGTTCCCAGACGAGGCATTGGCTTCCAGGACAGCCCAGCGGCAATGCCAGCGGTCCAGCATACCCTTTATATGTGTTCGCCCATTGCTGATAAGATTGGCATAATGAAGTGAACAGAGGTGGCCGTCATTAGGCATGTGGATTGCACATGCCTACCACAACTCTAAATTGGTTCATATGGTAAAACCATTGTACCATCATCAGCGAAAGGCGGGAATTCCCCACTTCCACCAGCACCAGCAATCAAGGATGGGATAGGCCAAATGCCCGACCCGACATGCAAAGAGTTATACCTACCCTCAAGGGCATCGGCGCTACACTACAATCCTTCCCAGCCTCCTTCGCCTCCTCCGCATCCTGTCTATACCTCTCTATATATATATACACACCTCTCTCTCTTTGTCTCCTCGTCTCTTCCCTTTTTTTCTTTCCTCCCCCCCTCCACCCAGGCGTGGGGAAGGGGTGGGTCGGGACAGGCGAGGACGAGGAGGGAGGAGGAGGAGCCCGAGGAGAGAGGACGAGGACGAGGACGAGGATGGGGGAGATGGGGGGAGGAGGAGGACGCGCAGAAGAAGGAGCCTCCTCCTCTTCTTCCTCCTCCTCCTCCTCCTCTTCCACCTCCACTTCCACCTCCACCTCCTCCTCCTCCTCCTTCTCCTCCTCCTCCTCCTCCTCCACCTCCTCCTCCTTTTCCTCCTCCTCCTCGGGAGAAGGAACCAGGGAGGGCGGAGGATGGCGTCGTCGGCGGCGGTGGCGGCGCGGGCGCCAGCGCCGAGGCCGACCCGGTGAGGTCCTCGCTCGGCACGCGGGGCTGCCCGCTCGGCGGCCCGATGGGCGGCCGGCTTGGCCCGGTGGGCTGCGCGCAGGTGCCACGCGGGTTCTAAGAGCAGGTTCTTCTCTCGGCGGGGTGGGCGGCGGGTGGCAGGAGGGGGAGGAGGGGGAGGGGGAGGAGGGGGAGGGGGAGGAAGAGGAGGAGGAGGAGGAGGAGGAGGAGGAGGAGGAGGAGGAGGAGGATTTGGGTGTGAACGAGGGTCCTTGCTTGCCTGCTGCTTGTCACGACATGCCTGTGCTCAGCAGCATTTGGCTCGGTTGTCTCACCGCGCCCCAGGCCCGCGCGCAGCCACAGCGGTCAGAGCGCCCATTTGAATAGTTTTCAGGTGGTGAGCCGGAGAAACATGTGAACGAATCGTGCGTGAGGAGGAGGAGGAGGAGGAGGAGGAGGAGGAGGAGGAGGGGGAGGAGGGGGAGGAGGAGGGGGAGGAGGGCTCTGGGGACTCTGCTGATACGAACCGCTCCTGCGGCCCCTGGCCGCGCGGGGCCCAAAGCGGCGGGGGGGAAGAACCGCCCACGCACCAGGCGACGCGCCAACCACGCCGAGCCAACAAGGCCTGGCCACGAGGAGCCACACGAGACCCCAGGCCCCAAATGGCCAAGCCAACCCAACCACGTCCCAGGGACGTGGCGAGGCTGGAGCCGTGCGCGGAAAGATCCCCCCCACACACGCCCCCGACCCCAGGTCAGACCGAACCGATTTTGCACAGGGAAGCGTTGGAGAACCTCAGCCAATTTCGGTCGCTGCCATCTTCACGCAGAATGCTCCACGCGTCCACGGCCCTACGCAGCATTCGCCACGCGACTCCTATGAAACGTTATTCATTGCAACGGTCCCTAGCGTCCCCATCAACCAGAATGACGGACTTGCCAAACAATTTCGGCTCGATCATTGATGGCATTCATCTTCGTCTCGGCTGCGCCAATGCTTGTTAGAGTGATTGAGGATGTGCTGATGTCGCTCAGCTTCACCTCGCAAGCAACATGTCCCGCCCGTGCTGCACCGCTGCGAAGTGCGCGCGGGCAAGGCCCTTTTGGACCCGCAGCGGCTAGGAGGAGGAGGAGGACGAGGGGGAGGGGGAGGACGATGGGGGAGAAGAGGAGCCCCATCTCCGTCCTCCGAGGAGTGGCGGCGAAGATGGGGGGGACGACGACGACGACGACGACGACGACGACGACGACGACGACGAGCACGAGGACGACGACGACGACGACGACGACGACGACGACGGCGGCGACGGCGGCGACGACGACGAGGACGAGGACGAGGACGAGTACGAGGAGGGCAGGAGCCAGAGGAGGAGGAGGGAGGATGACGACGAGGGGCGTGTCAGGAGGGAAGGCGGCAGGAGGTGGAGGAGGAGAGATGTGGGGGAGATGGAGCGAAGCGAAACAGCGGCGTGAGGAGGAGGAGGAGAAGGAGGAGGAGGAGGAGGAGGAAGAGCAGGAGCCACCTGGTGGTACGGTGGGGGCTTTGGTTAAGGAACGTGCCCAGTAGGCTTCAGACCCTGGAAGGTTCCTTGTCTGACGAGGACGGCGGTGATATGCATGGCCATTTCATGATTGGCGTTCCACTGGCTTCCAGACCCCGGATTCCTTATCCAAGGGTTCCTTATCCAATGCCCCTACCGTAGTCCTTCTGATTCGGTGGGTGGTTGCCTCAACGACGGGTCTCATCAGGGACCCGCGCCTCGTGGTGCTACGGTTGCGGCAGCAGCCGCGCAGGCATCCCGCACAACCTCATGCACGGCAAGCAGCCCGAGTATCTCACCGACTATGGTGTTGATGGGAGACGTGACCGATCCTGTGAAAGGGATGGCCCTCGCCCTGATGGTGTTCTGGTGGCCTGATGTGTTTATGCTGACAGCGGTGCGTGAGCGTTATTAGGCACGAAGATGGGCGATTCGCTGGTGGCGTATGCTGACACAGGCATCCCGTTGACGCGGTACACACCTTCTCCTGCTGGCGGTGATCAGCGGCGGAGGACTTGTGGTGGCGCAGCACTTCAGGCAGCCTCGAGTGAAGGCTAGGGTTGTGCGATGCCTGCCAGCTGCTTGTCGAGGCGGAAAGATCGATTGGTTTCAAGAGCTAGGGTTGTGCGATGCTTGTCGAGGGCAAATGTTCGAGCTAGTGTTGCGCGATGCTTGCCGGGTGCCGCGATGGGCAGACGATACGGTGTGGTCGGATCAGCGTGGATATGGTTCAGTTGGTGGCGTAGCTGCTTGTTTTCAAGATCCACCGCACCCACACTGGGCTTCCACCGCCCTCCAGCTCCGTTGGCCTCCGCTTAGGGGCTGGCCACCCCACAGCACAGCCTCCCACGCGGGTGGCACCCGCACAACGCCATCCTTTACGATTCCTTTTTGATCACCAGCGGAGTCCAGAAGCACTATCTGAACCCGCGCGTGGCCAGGTTTCGCGTCGGCGCAGACGACGCCGACGCGGGGCAGGACGCGGCGTCCTTTGACGGCGTCACCCGCGAGCGCGGCCGCGGCCGAGGCCGCGGGGAGAGAGTGATGCCCTCACCTCCCCGCGTGCCAAGCCGCTAGGGGGAGGGGGCGAGCGTGCCGCCAGCGCCCACACGGCGTCGGGACGGGCTCCCCCCCTCCCCCCTGGCGAATCCCATTCCTTCGCTGCTTGAGGTGCGGAGGGGGGTGAAGGATGGTGGGCGCGCGCTTGCCTCTTCAGCCCCGCCGGTGGGGCGCTGGCGCACGGCGTCGGTGGACGCTGCGGAGCTTCCGCCTCCAGAGGGAGCGCAGCACCAGGAGGAGGGGCGAGGAATGGAGGAATGGAGGGTGGGGAAGGAGGAGTGGGGCTGCGGCGGCTTGCTGCAGCCGATACTGTGCGGCAGCAGCCCTGGCCGAACGGTTTTGCCAGAAATATCCGTTCCTCCTCCTCCTCCTTCGTAGCAATTTTGGTTCAAGATGGCACGCCATCGCGAGCTCAGCGTGGATACCGCTAGTCCGCGGCCAGTTCCATCAGCTTTGCAGTCATTTCCAGGGACGAGCTGCCGTCCGTTCCTGCTCACTGCTCTGGCGTTACAGGCCGCCCTCCATATTGCTTGGTCGAACCTCGCTCCGAGCTTCCATCTTGCCTCGTCGAGTATCGCCTCGTCGAGCGCTGCTCCGAGCCACCATATCGCGCTGTTGTTCTTCGTCTCGGGAACCAGCCGCCCGCCGTCATTGTCCCCGTGCCGCGCGCACTCACTCCTCAAGCACGCGCTGGCTTCGCATCGGAACCTGTTCGTGGCATTCTGTGGGACACTGAAACTCTCCACGTCGTACCCAGACAGCTAGCTAGCATCATGGCGTCGTCTTCCCGCAGCTCCAGCTTTTACGTTCGCTCGGCTTCCCGCAGTCTTCATTCATCGCGAGCCTCACGTCTTCGACGCCAGAAAGGACTCAGTGACCAAGCCGACCCTCGCGACTGTGACCAGGCCGCCCCCCGTCACCGACTTCGCGATGATGTTGCTCGAGGACCACCCGCCCGCCGCGCTGTGCCTGCCCTTGCCGGTCGTTCATCTGGCCGAGCGGCGCCCCGCTCCCATCGCTCGGCACGTGCTGCAGCGAGACCAGCATCCGCGGGCCCGTCTGGCAATGGTGCTCCAGACCGTTTTCATTTTTCATGGACAAGACCCATGACAGCACGCAGCCGACCCCGACAAGTTCCACGGCCACGACCCGTGCAAGCTCGCGACCGACTGGGGAAACTTCTCCACGTCCCCCGAGCAGAAGCCGCTTCATGGTTTCGCTCACCCAGTCCACCATGGCCCACCAGCCAGTCAAGGCTATCCTTGGCGCGGTCATGCTGCAGCAGGCGGACCCACCGCCAGCGGAGCCGCCGCCGTTGGCCCTTGTTCCCCACGCGTTGTTCCCGAAGCAGAAGTGATTCATCCCGCGCCGCAAGGTCCTCCTGAAGCTCGCTTCCCCGCTCTCGATCCTGCTCTCGACTCCGCACTCCAACAGCTCTTGCGTGACCAAGTTGCACACGCCGCGAGTGCCTTCCAAGCTCAGGCCAACGCGCTCCTCAACGGGTCTCGCGAAAGCTTCCGCCAGCTTCGTTCGCAGCAAGTTCTCGCCGCAGAGCGCCGCGTCGACGCCCTCCGCGACGTCGTCGCCCCCGCGCGCGGAGAGCAATATCGCCGGGCTTCCGAGCAGCGGCGCATGTCGCAGTAGATTGACCAGATGCGCGACGCCCTGGCGCTCGCGGAAGCGCAGGCGCCCATCGCTGACCTCGCCGAGCTCGCCGAGTGGGGCCGCGCCCCCGACGCGACCCTCTTCCCCCGTCGGTTGCCAGCGCCTCATCGCGCCCAACGTATTGCCCAGCGACCTGCAGGAGTGGGTCGCCTCTGCCAACCCGCCGCGACGCCGTCGAATTGCGCGGGATGAACCAGCCAGGCGCTTCATCCTGCAGGTCAAAGGCGACAGCGCCATCGCCCTCCCTCACGCCCTCGCTCTCAATCGTGCCTTGCGCGGCCCCGCTGGCAAGTGGAAACGGTCCGAATCCGCTGGCGCGACTGGCGCTCGCGTCGACATCTACCTCGACCACGACAAGTCACCAAAGCAGATCCGCACCGAGGTCCACTGCAAGAGGCTACACCAGCTCTTCCAGCAGCGCCGCCCCAATGCGTCATGGAGGGCCATCCGTTCCAAGGGCGAGATCGACAGCAATGCCGCGCCCATCGTCCGCCTCGAGTTCGAGGGCCAAGCCGGCCCGACGATCCTCGAGTGGAACGAGAACGCGCTTGAGCACGACGTTTGCAGCGACGTCGACCGCGGCGGCATCCTCTCCTCGTTTCAGGCGCTCTTCGCGGACACAGCGACCGCTTCGCGGCGCGTTGAACACCCCGCGGTCGCCATGGCTGGCGACCGAGGGCAACGCGCCCATCGCCTTCGTCACGTGGAACGCCAGGGTGCCCGTGCGCCACAAGCGGAAGCGCCGCCGTCGAAAGCAAGCTGCTCTTGCGAAGTGCGCGGGGCGTCGCTGCGTCATCTTGCTCCAGGAGGCCCGCGGCTCGGAGGCCCTGCTCCGCGCC